AACTGGAAGGGACCCTAGAGATCATCAAGTCCAGCCCCATGTACAGGAGGCCCAGGGGGATTCGAACTGCCCACCTCTGGCTGCTCAGTTAGGAAAGAAAGAAAGAAAGAAAGAAAGAATCCAACATAACTAAACGACAACAATGCCTTGCAAATTGGGTGAGTCGCCTGTTCCTTCCTTCAGAATAGCCCTGGATATCAAAATATGGCAGAGAAGAATCCTCCTTTTCAAAGCACCCTCCACCTCAGCAGGGATAAAAGTCCACTCCTGAGTTAAAGAGAAAGAATCTGATGAAATGGTTGTTGTCGTTTTTTTGGCCTGTTTGGCCGTGTTTCGCCAGTCTCTGTGGCCAACATCTTCAGAGGACAGGAGTTAGAACTCTCTCTGTGTTCTGGTGTAGTGTGGGGGATTGTTGAGTACTGTATTTGTAGCTGCGGGGTGAGGGTTTTTGTTCTTTTCAGGAGACTGGGTGTTTCCTGCGATCAGGGTGTTTTTTGTTATAGGTGTTTTGTTGCGATAAGGGGGGAGATCATCTGTCCCTGTGATTAATGGGTGTCATTAGCTAGACATTTGTGTACAGTGATCACCTATCCTTGTGGCTGGGTAGAGTTCATTGATCTTTTTGCAGGCTGTATTTTTCACTGCTGGGAGTCTGGACAAGATGAACATAAAATCCTATTTCAAAAGACAGAAGTACTGGACAACACCAGCAATCATTATGTTAGACTACACAGGGAAGCCCCTGAAATCCACAAACACCAGTACAGCTTCAACTATCCCACAGACTACACCAGAACACAGACAGAGTTCTGACTCCTATCCTCTGAAGATGTTTTTCTGCAGCCGAATGGGGCTTTCTTGCACGAAGCTGGACGGGGCTTTATAGAACCTGCTTCTCAAAAGTGGGATCCCAAGACCACAGATCCCTTGCCTGTGGCTGCCGTCCATGAATATGTGGGGTCCCATATTGGGGAGCTTCTGTGCTTGGCCACTTTTAGGAAAAAATAAGGCCCTCTTACCTCATCAGTGGGGTTTATGTCCAGGTAAAGAAGGGCACGTATGCACCGTGTTTTCCCGAAAATAGGACGGTCTTATATTCATTTTTGCTCCACGATCTAAGATTTATTATTGCTGCTGTTGTTGTGATGATGATGATGATGATCGTGCCAAGATGCTAACAAAGCTGCCTCGCCCACTAGCCTCACTAAAACCCAGGAAAGGGAAAGCAACCTATAATTTAGCTTTCTCTGCTATGACCGTTGTTGCTACGTGACAGGCGTGATTCAGCATCCTTTGGTAGCAGCAAAACAAAGTTAAATAAATAAATAATCAGCTTTTTTTCGGAAGCCTATTTCCTGAGCAAAAGCCTCAAGGGATGGCAGCCCACTTGGGGCTGAAAAAGATGCCCCCCCCCAAAGAAAACAACACTTGTTGTTAAAATCAGGAGGTCAGTCTTCGAAGTCCAAACCAAACTCTTAGCAGTTCTCGGCCGTGGGCTTCAGGGATCAAATACTGTATAGTCATGTCCTCTTCTTCCGGTTGCTGCACGAGGGTGGAGGGCGGGCAGGGTTTCACTGAACTGGGGCTTATTAGCAGTTCTCGGCCGTGGGCTTCAGGGAGGGGGGCGGGCTGGACTAGATGACCTTTGGGGTGCCCTGCAATCCTCCAGTCCTTTCTTAGGAGCCCTAGTTTTAAAAACCATTTTTCAGCAGCAGTTGCCCTAAAAGATCACTTCAGCAAGTCAAGTCTCCCTTCTTCTTTTCCCCCTTAATTTTGAACCCTTCCTTGCTTTCCCTTGGCTTGGAAAAGGCCACGCGCCAAGAGTGCCTCTGGGTACGTGCAGAGGGCCGCTTGTCTTCCCTGCCTTTTTAAAATAAATAAATCCCCTCCACGCCTCGGCCATCTCAAAGGAAGGGAAAACAGCCCCGAGACGACTTCCTCCGACCCTGTCTCTCTCTCCCACCGATCCTCCCCGCCGCCCCATCGCCTCCAGCCGCAGCAGCCGCCACCACCCCCCCCCCCCCCCCCCCCCCCCCCTCCCCCGCCCCCCCCGCGCCCCAA